GGTCAGTGTTGCACTATTAAAATATTCTTTTTTCATTTCGATTGAAGAATCTGTTTTCTCAATATATACATGTAGATATGAACAATATCTTGATGATGCAAAAAAATGTGGCATTAGAAAAAAATCAGTTGAAAAATAATTTGCTATTTAGATTTCCAGTTTATGGAAATGCAATCGAAGCTGCTGAAAACATCTTCAAGTTATTGAATCGAAAACCAGCAATTGATAATGAATCAAATAATGGTGTTAAAATTGTGTGTGAATACTGTAAATATTTTCGACACACAATAACTGTCTACATTGTCATTTAGACTGACTTTACTGGGCAACTTGACTTTGACGATGTTTATTTCAATTATCCAAATAGGTCTGAATCGATTATTCTTAGAAATTTTAAACTCAATATCAAACCTGGTATGTAAAAATAATGCTCAATTATTTTGATCTTTGTAAACATTCATTTTTTTTTGTTTGTTTTTCTTTGGTCAAAAAGTAGCACTTGTTGGTATGTGTAGTTGCTAACCGTTCTCATTAAAACGGAACGATTCATTTTCAAATGTCGATCTATTTAGGTATGTCTGGCTGTGAAAAATCAACAACTATTCAATTAATCGAACGTTTTTATAATGTAAATATGGATCGTCTCGTAAGTAGTTTCTTTTTTCTTGTTCTCTCTTATTTCACACTTTTCCATTTGTCTTATCGTTTCAGTTGATTGATTCAATAGATATTCGAACTCTTAACCTTCAATGGTATCGATCACAAAGTAACTACACAAATATACTTTTTTTTTCTATAATATCATTATATTTACTCATCTCTCTATTTATTAGTTGGTATTGTTTCTCAAGAACCGATTCTCTTCAATATGTCAATTCTAGAGAATATTGCATATGGTGATAATAGTCGAAAAGATATTCCACTAGATGAAATTATTCAAGCAGCAAAAAAGTACAAATATTCATGATTTCATTCAATTTCTTCCAAATGTAAAACATCAAGAATTTCGTTTTGTTTTTATTCTAACAAAGAATATATTCTCTTTTTTAAATATAAAGAGATATGAAACAAATTGTGGTGCAAAAGGAACTCAATTATCAGGTGGACAAAAACAAAGAATTGGTAAAATTATCTTGATTATTATGTTTTATCAAGTTAAAAATGATTTTGTTGATTTTAGCAATTGCTCGAGCATTACTTCGAAATCCAAAGATTTTATTATTTGATGAAGGTAAAAGAGAAGTTATGATATTTTTTTTTCTTTCATAATTATATTTTGTGTGTAATTGATTTAGCCACAAGTGCATTAGATAGTGAAAATGAAAAGATAGTTCAAGCTGCATTAGATCATGCTCAACAAACTTGAACATCAATAACAATTGCACATCGTTTATCAACAATTCAGAATGCAGATATGATTTTTGTTCTTCATAATGGTGCAATTGTAGAAAGTGGAAATCATGAAGAATTACTTGTTCTTGGTGGTCGATATTATCGATTAGCAACTAAAAATAAACTAAATAAATAAAATATACATGGTTTACATATTCGCTCTATTTACTTTTCTTATCTATATGTATTTATTTTTTTGAAGTCTATTTATTAATAAAATGTGGATTGGAATTCATGCAAGCCTCACATAGGACTCATAGTGAAGAGGCAGTGTTTCAAACAAGAAGGTTGCTAAAATATGTATATTTAGAACATTAGTGCTTGATGTCAGTGTAGATTGCGATTCATATTCAAAGAAGAATTTTTTTGTTATATACTAAAACAGTGTTATAGTATTCAGACATTGCGAAGCATGCGCATAAATGTTTAGTATGAAGTCAAATATTATAAATTGGTTGCAGAGGTGAAAGAGAAAACATAAGAAATAATATCATTTGTCAAATGACAATTCATAATTGATCTAAGAAAACGAACTGATAAAAATCATTATCGATAAAGTAGCGAACTGCAATTAAAACAAAGCTCGAATCAGAGGTATTCGTTTCGAATGCAATGTAAATGTCTCGATCTCTGATAATCAGAGAGAAGTTCCTTTGACATGTTTGACACAATCCATTGATTAGAAAATATTGCTATACTTTTGTTCGTTATTGAGTTTAGTGTACGTAATGTGGTATATGTTCGACAAAAATAACACACTGTCGCAGCAAATTATCACATGCACGATGAATATCACCTATCTATTCATTTCATCAAAATCGCGCAAAACTCAATGATTTTATGGCGAGTCACTGTAATATTCGAAGAATCACTTATTCATTTCAAAAAATGGCATAGTTTTGATGAGATAGGTACAATCTTTATAAATGAATTATATTGTACAAGGATAAAGCATACATTTGTTTTTTTCGAACTCTTATATGCTGATAATTTCACTGTAGAACACTTATAAAAGTCATTTAACTTCATTGATTGAGCTTCTTCAAAATTATGATGTTATCTATAAATATTAATGCACATTCGGCTTACTATCATAGATAAATATAGTTCTTGATGGCACTAAGAACAATCTACATTAATTCAAATCCATTCTCTACAAGTGAGAACATATCACTGCTGTGCTTCATTTTGGAATAATTGATACGATTTTGTTAAATATTAACTGAAAAGTTTTTAATATAGAATGCTGATGAAAGATTTTTTGAATATATCTTACGCTTCCCCAAAAGTTTAGGTTTTTTAGTATTGATAACAGTTATCAAAATATGATGCTCCTAATCATCAGCGTCAGTAGCAAATAATATCAACAACTATGACAGATGTCATCAAATAAGTCAACTCAATATCATAATGTCGGTACAATACAGATCACAATTGTATATAATGAGCTAGATTTATTCCTTTACAAGATGTATAGATAGTCCTTCTAAGATTCATCAGGATTATCCCACGAATGAACTCATTGGTATTGTCTTTCTTACATACTTGTATGTATTGATGTCTCTGAAATGTCATACCGAATACCGTATACCGATATATTTTTTGATCAATTGTTATTCATAGAGTAAAAGTCTTCAAAAGGCCTGCTAAATTTTTCTATGGTGTTATTCTGAAATGGATTAATATTTTTCTAAAGTTTTACTTTTGTTCATCATTATGAATATCTTCTTGTGGGACATTGTAACAAAAGAAATTGTTAGTAGGGTAGATTTTTGTAGCAACATGTGGAATCTAAACTTTATACTTGCATTTTGTTTATTGCACAAAAAACGCTTTTTATTCTGACAAGTGTGACATATGAATAAATAAGATGCCTATCAGATTTGATTAAAACAGTTAATAGCTTTTTCTATAGTTTTTCTTTCTCATTAAAAAAACCTAATCATTTGTATATGCAGTATGGATCGAGTGGTCATTCCTCCTTTTTGCACGGTGAGAGTCAGACGTACTGTCTTTCCTCTCATATATGTACGTTTATATGTAATACTGGACATCGTGTGTATTTTCAATCTCAAAAGTATTATTTCAATATAATTACAAAAATAATTTATAAACATAATGGCAAACACATCGTACAATAAATATGCAAATATGACAAGTAAAGAAAAAGATGATTTATGCGACCATAATCATGAAAAAATTCGAGAATTGATGACGTTAAGGGATACAAATGCTTCAAGCTCAAATTTAAATCAAAACAAACAGCAAGTTGGAACTATAACACAAAACGAAGAAGGAAATCAACATTTTAAAAGACAGCTTACATCAACAAGTCAATATGAAGATGGTGATTCGCAAGATGATGATAATAATCCATTTATATTTATTACGAAAGGAAACAAAAGAAAACAAAGAATCAATGAAAGAAATACAATGGATACTACAGATAACAATGAATCTGATATTATTATTGAACAAAGCAAAATAACAACAACAAAAACAAACAACAATAACAGTTGTCTCTTTATTAACAGTAGAAATAAAACAAATAACAGTTGCCATTCATATAACAACAAATGTTCGCATAATATTAGTCATCATCACTATTTGAGAGAACGTGAAAATTATAACAATAACTCACCAAAGAATGATGATTCAGACATGAACCATAGAAATATGTCAACATTACGTCATAATCTAAATAGAAAAGATAAAATAAATGATTATGAAAATAATTATTTACAAGAAAAAGAAATTAATATTTCTCAACATGCCCCAAATTTTGCTGTCGAACAGCACCTTCCACCTATTCATGTTAAATGTACACCAAAATTAATCGATCACCAAAATGGAAAAGAAATTATAAAAACTCTTTTCTCGTATATCGAAAAAGACTTCAAGAAACTAAACAAACATTATACTAAGCCATTAGGTTTCGAATATTGGTTCATCGATAAAAGTGGAGATTTAATATGCTTTACCAAACATATAGAACTCTTTATATACCTATGTGAAACCAAAAACTACCCAACAAAATTAAATCAAACTGACATTTTACCATCGAAACCGAAACACCTACCAAGCCAAAACTCTTTAATATTGAAATATGCACCTGAATACATCATTCTTGATGAAATTCAAAATGAAATTAAATTACATATCAATACTCTGTTTAACATCGAAGAAATAAATGGAACTAAAACAGGAAAATTTCGTCATATAAGAATAGAAATCAAATCAACAACTGAATACGAGCAACTATTACATAAAGGTGGAATAATAATTGATGGTCAGCTAATTGAAGTACATGAATTTCTTGCACCACCTCGACTATTAATTTGTTCTAAATGTAATGATCCTGGTCATGTGAGAAAATATTGCAATCTCAAATATGATGCTTGTAGAAGATGCGGACAAGACAAGTCAATGGGTAATCACAATGAATGCACCATATGCTGCCATCGATGTAAACAAAATCACCTCTCAACTGATTATAAATGTCAGTTTTTAATAGATTACAGACGTTCTCTTCTGCTTCAATTAAAACAAAAACCTCACTTATTACCTCCAAATGTTCAACTGTTCATTCCAACTGAATGTCGTGAACGTGGTGACAAAAACAATAAAATTGTAAGTAACAGAATCTCCAAGAGTAATAGTACACTATATAATAATACACGAACAATCAGTTTCAAGTTCAACAACCATTGTTTAACATTAGCTCAAATATTTGGCCATCACTGGAAAAACACCGAACTAATCATATAAACTCAGCAACAGAAGAATCATTATGGAATAAAATAAGAAATAAACAAACGGAAATTGAAAAATTAAAAGAAGAATTCAACAATAAAATGCAACAATGCAAAATTAGATACGAGGATAGCATTAAAAAAGTTAAATCAATATTATAAATAATTGCAGCTCAAACTAAATATCAAAACGAAAACGTTGAATGTTGTTGTACAATATTAAATGACTTCATTCCACTATTATCCTCAACTTTAACGTTTTTCCAAAAGATCAATTCAATGTATACCAAACAAAATAACTCGAATGAAAATAACAATGAAGCAAGTCAATTATTACATTTTATTTCTAACTCAATTGATTGTATGAAGGAACGGCACATTACTCTTTTAACAAGCCAAAAGTCTATACACAATCTAATTGATCAACAAGGTCAGCTATTAGTACAAGCAGTAAACAATTTAGAATTAAACCATGAATAGTAAACCCTTCCATTATTCTAAGCCGAATATTTCCTCTCAAGTAGTTGATTCGTACAATGGAAAATCAGATGAAAAGAATCTCTTATTAGAAATGATAAACGAATGGAACTCCCGTACATCAATATCTCTTCTATGCAACAAAAAGAAAAAAAGTTAGACCCCAGTCCCCCAAAGAGAATTTACTTTTTTTACTGTATAATGTTGAAGGACTAAATATTCATGTTGCGGATGTAGATTTATTACTTTACAATTATCATCCACATATTTGTATTCTTACAGGTGTAGGCACTGCTATACGTAAACAAATAACTTTTCCAAATTATCACTTAATCTCTCAACCTGGTACCAATTCCTATGGAGGAGTAATGATTCTCCATCAACATCATATAGAATGCAAAGTAATCAAAAAAAATACGAATTTTTTAATGATCGAATTAACTTCAAACCATAACCATATTAACATCGGTGCTATCTATGTCCCTCTTAATTCTCTTCCTCCTTTTCACTTGTTGTCTAAATACCAAAATAAGCCTTTCTATATCTTTGGTGATTACAATGCCAAACATATAAACTGGAGCTGTAAAACGAACAATACGAGTGGAGTACATTTACAAAACTGGTTTGAATCAACGGGAAATTAAATTATAACACCAAATAAGCACACATCAAAACGATCCGAATCAATTATATATTTTTTAATTACGCATGACGGAAATGGTTGGACATCGGAAGTACTAAATGAAGGAACTTCTGATCATTTCCCAATCTTATTTCAATCCCCCCATAGGAAAAAAAGACGATACATTTTTTAGAAAAACTAAATGGAAGATATTCAATTTTTTTCTTCTTCTTATACACGAATACTGGATGTCATTAGTATGCAATCTAGATGAGCAAACATTCTTCTCACATTTCTCCTTATTTCTATCATCTCTATGGGATAAGTGTAGTGTATATGAAAATTCGTCAAAATATCGTACACCATGGCCACCTGAATTAGTTCTAGCACAATCAGTGAATCGAGCGAGAAGAAGTTATAGAAGGAATAAAACTGATGCTAAACTTCAATACTACCTGTCATTAAAGGATATATTCATAGCTCAACGAACACAATATTTATATGAAAAAAAGAGAGCAAAAAATGGAATGGATCAGTGAAGGACACAACTTATGGAAATTCGTTAAACCTTCTTTTCACGCATACTCACCTCAATTCAAAGGGATTAAAAAAGAAGCTGAAACAATAACAGAAGATACGAAAATTGTTGAAGTACTTGCTGACTACTTTGAAGAACATTTTCAGGAACCAAAATATGACGAAAACAATAAAGAACACTTATCTGCAATAAAAATATTTCAACAAATTGAATATATTCCGAATATACCATTGGAACCAGTAACGATGAATGAGATTCAACTAGAATGGAAAAATTTCAAACCAAAAAAATCGAGCGACACTGCAGGTACATCAGCTTTCATGTTAAAACAACTCCCCATAGAATATTTAGGAATTATCACAGTCTTATTCAACAAGTGTGCCGCAAAAGGAAACTTTTTCGAGGAAAGCAAACATGCTAAGGTGATATGTCTATCAAAAGACGGGTTATACCCAGCAGTAAATAAACTCAGACCTATTTTATTACTACCTAACATAGGCAAATGGTATGAAAGAATAATTCATAAAAAAATACTAAAATGGTGTCATGAAAATAACATATACGTTGATGAACAGTCAGGATTTACTTCTGAGAGAAGACTGCAAACAAGAATCATCTCACTAATAGAAGATATTAGATTAACAATTACGGCATGCAATAGGCCTGCTCTATGAATTTTTGTTGATTTTCTTTCAGCTTTCGACAGAATGTGGTTCCCTGCACTGATATATACCTTATATAAACTTGAAATGCCTCTATCCTACATTAAATGGATTGCCTCTTGGCTGAGGAATAGAACTTTAGCAATACACTATGGTGATACAGTTTCAAGAACAATAAATATGCATGTTGGAGCACCGCAGGAATCGATTCTAGCTGCAACTCTATTTAGACTACATGTACACTACTTACCAACAGTCTTATTTCAATTAACAACACATCTTTTTGCAGATGATCTAGCGATACTAATAACAGGATCACTTGAAAAGAAATTTTCACAGAACATTATTGAACTAGAAGAAAGAGCCAAACACGCAATGAATATCCTTGAAAAATACTCTGTAGATAATCTTTTACCAGTCAATATCAATAAGACTAAAGCATTACTAATTCATAACGTTGTTGCCCCAAAATTACCAAAAATCGAATATAAAAATCACCAAATTGAATTAGTGCATTCCTATAAATATCTTGGAGTCACAATCACACAAAAACTAGGTTGGGGTAAATATATCGACAATAAACTAAACAAAATAAGAAAAACTTATAATGCAATGAAATTACTTTTCTATAATATCCCTAAAAGTAAAATGAAACTCAGGCGTAGAATATTTTTTAGCGTTCTCACTGCCTCATTTCCTATGGTTAATAACGACTTGGTTCTTTTTTTCAGAAAATCAAAAAAGGAAAATCACCAAAACTTTTATTACAGGATTAAAAATAGTTTACGGACTGTACGGATGGGACGATTTTACCACCCAAGTTCTTTGTCAAGAGAAACCTTTACAAGATTACATTTATTCATATTGGTCGCGTTTCTCAATGCACCTCGAAAAGTCCCTTGAAGCGACCTCGTATCAACACACATGGACTGCCTTTCAAACCTTAATTAAACTAGATAAATCGCAACAAAAAAATCTGGGATTCAGAAAAAACAATAAATTTTTAAACAGATTAGTAGAGAGAGTGAAACTAGTAAAGAGGATTGGTTATAATTCAAAATAAATCACATACCGCAACATAAAATATTTAAAAAATCAACATATTATTTAAACATGTTTATCTATAAATACTTTTTACTTCCCCCGTAAATTCTAAACTGTACATGTATAATCATGCGGCGTTACGATGGACAAATGCAGTTTTATATAAAAAGAAAAGAAAAATATATATATATATAGATGTCTCTATATCTCAGGGTATTCAAAAAATATATATTTGTAAATTGTACTTTATCAACTGTTTTTATTTGATGTGAAAAGGTTATATTCTTTATCATTATGCTACAAAGAAATGTTCTTTCTATGTTATACGATTATTACTTCTCTCATCTTATTTTGTTTGTATGAATAGCGATTATACACATTACTACTCTATCTCTCTATTTATTTGTTTCTTTTTCTTTTGTTAGTAATTGTTCCTTTCCTTCTTTATTATTTCTCCTTCTTTACGTTTCAATATGCGAACCAGTAAAAGGCACATTACAAAATAAATGTTAAAACAAAAAGTATGCATCGAGTGGCGATTACCTAATTGTATGCTCAAACATGTCATCATTAATGCTTACATGTTCGTGCACGAATAACAAATGCACGAAAAAAGATAGGAAAACAAAAACGTAACGATAAAAACGTGTCTCCTTGAATTATACTTCTAATAAACCAATATTACACTCATCCTTTTCAACCCGATAGCAATGATGGTTAATAGGGATTTTTCAGATACAGTAGAAAAGGAAACGATAAAATTATTTCTAGAAAATTGAAAGAAATCACAGATATGAACTATAAAAAATTGTTATTTTTGTAAAATACATTTTTGCTTTCATCTTTTCGCAGAGTAATGTCTCAAGAAGAAGAAGAAGAAATGCCTAAAAAAACAAGTTTTTGGCAACGATTTCGTACTAGAAATCAAGACAAAACACAAACTGAAGTAGTGAGCATTCGAAGTTTGGTAAATATCATTGTTACTACTATTTTATTCATTCAGATTTCTCTTTCATTTTTAGTTTCGGTATGCTAATACTACTGAATTATTTTACTTAGTATTAGGAACAATTGCTTCTATAGCTTTTGGTATTTGTCTTCCATTAGCTCTGNCGGAATTTTGCGTGCATCAACGGTTCAAAACTTTTATCGCTATAGATATCCTTCTTCAGACGTAATTAAAACAAAATCCACTAGGACGGATACAGCTTTTCCAGGACTACAAGACTATGTATACATTTTTTAAATTAAACTGTTAATCTTAACTTAATTAGATGTCGGAAACTGTAAAACTTACTGTTACACAAAGTTTCGCAATTGATGCCAGCATTACTTTAACAAACTGGATCTCTGTAAAGAAAAACCCATTTCAGCTGAATTTTTTTATCTAGATGGCCTTTAAACAACTACACAACCTAGAAGTCCTTTTAGCTCAGAAGCACATGTCTTTCTTGAGATATACAAATGGTTTGCTGTAAAAAAACGTTTACAGCCTGCTTTTTAGGAGTTTTAGGAAATCGAATGGCTTTCCCGGCTAGTGTACAAAGACAAGTCTGTGAAAGATGTATCCTTTTTAAAGTAGAAACAATGCTCTATCTAACAAAAAAAGAATTAACTTTCTATCATTTTCTGTTCAAATACAACAGAGTCTGACATTTTTCCAGGAACTTTTGCAACACCCGTTAGAATTCTTACATAGAAATTAACATATTTAAGTTATATTCATAGCATATATGCGAACAGCAAAGGTATACAATGGCTATAATTATCCATAGTGGCGCAATGAAAAATTTTTTGAAGCAAATAACTTGTCTAGTATAAACACATGAATTTATGAAAGAATATTCTTTTGGATAAAAGTATTGTGGCAGATGTTTTTATACATTTGAGATGTTTACAAATGGATGACGACTGAAAGCTGAAAGAATTTCATTTTGAATATCTGAACATATAAAAAATAGATTATTTTATATTTGGCACTTCACTATCAAGAGAAGCGACGTTATATCAAAGCTGTAGTATCGTTGTGATCATTGCTAAATCAATAATTCTATTTCAAATAATAATATATCATCTAGTCATTCTATTCTCTGATGTGTACATGTATAATAAACTATCCATAATCAAGTAGTGTAGGACATTCGAGAGTAATGATAGATAATAGAAAGAACAGAACAATGCACGTGAGTTTGTATAAGAGAGAGTATAACATAGAACGGAACAGGAAAAAACGTTGTTTCATCTTTAGAGTAGTAGATGTTCAATAAAAGAAGCTTAGTTTTATCTTACAATCTCTCTCGCTTTCAAAACATGAAGAAAATATTGATGTATATCTGCTAGCAATATGAGTAGTGTTCAAGAACAAATTTCGAAAGGGTATTCTATTTAGTTGTGTCACATGAAAGCGGAAAATGGACTAGATAAAGCATGAAAAACTTCTTTCTGTGAATTGTCTCTCTTGGCGAGCCACAACCACCTATCTCCGATATAATGTGTTGTATAAGACTTTTCATCTTTCAAAGATTTTTCATATTCGAAAACCAAGATTTGTGTATACTTCTTTCTCAATCGAACATGTGAAGATGTTTCAAGGAAAGAAGGTGCAACTTTGAAATCCTAGCATCTCACCATCTTTTGTCACTACAAGTGCTGTGATGCTCATACATATTTGAAATTAGATTGGTAATTAAGGAGATAACAATGAGTGAGTGTCATAGTATTTTAATTCGACTCTTCAATTAAGATAGATTTTTTCCCGAAAGTAATGGTTTTCTATAAAATTTGAATAAAGGTTTTCGTGGTGAAGAAATCGGAATCTCTGACCGATTTTATGAAATTCTTGAATTCGATTTTGTGTAGCTCACATATATTTTCGAAGAAAATAGTGAGTATAGGTTTTAAGATCAAGTTTTCGTAATGCAGCCGTTCCTCGCACCCCTCCATTACAGACACTTAGCAACCGGGCCTCCCATTACAGACCTCAATAATCGAAAGTAGCAGGCGTAAGATTTTCTTTTTTTTTTTAAATTGATCAAGTTATAATTGTAAACAATAATGAATATCATTATTTGTGCGTTGATTAATATATATATGAGAGTGTGTAAGATCTGCTGTAGATATCATGAATATGTAAAAGAGACTTATTTTTCAATTATATCAATCATTATAATAATAAGAATGTTAAATTAAGACAAAAATAATTAAAAAAAATAAAATATAAATAGCAAATAGCAACAATGCAAACAAAAAATAGGGTGCCTGTAGAAAAAATATTTAAAAACATCTGTTCGAAATGCAGAAATTATAGAGGTTCTTACTCTAGTGATGGATTTTCCTGCAAAACAACGATAGTCTAAGAGAGATTTTTCACTTTACGTATTTTGTATTAGTTGAATGAAGCTACAGAGCGTATGTGAGTTCTACATTTCAGGCCCAATGGGGCTGCGCTGAAAAGCTTTTTTCTCTTGGTCAATGGAAATCTATTACCTGCTATTCACTAACGTTTTGCAAAATTCAGTTATTTGATGAAATAGGCTTTCCCTGACAATAAAAATTGATCACAGATTCGGTTTCTTCGCTCCTGAAGAACTTCGGTAAAAGTGTTTTAGAAAATCATTACTTTCGAAAAATAGCCTTATTTTGATTGGAAAAATCGAATTAAAATTGTGTGACTCTCACTCATAGCCATCATCTTAATTTTCAGTCTAACTTCAAAATATATATCAGTCCCACAGCATCTTTTAGTTAAGTTTGCTACTCAAGTAATGCACTTACACCTTTGAAATATTTTCATTGTATAAGAGAACATCATTGGACTAATATTCGTTTCTCAAACGAGAGTGTGATTAATGATTTGACAATCTCAACAGTCAACATAGAAATTTTGATTTGCACACATATGCATTTATTAAATATCTAAGATTACGATAGTTTCTGATCGAATACGAAATCTAATTTCATATTTATTCCAATAAATGAAGAGTAATTTTTCTAGATAAGATAGATGAGCCTCAGAGGACAGCAACCTCCTCCCCTCCCCTTTCAGTGGTTTCTTGAGAACGACTAGGCAAAAAGTTTTGAAAGTTTCATGGTAGATAGACCTCGATAAGTAGAATAAAAGTTATCATAGACTCAAAATTTCCAAATGCTTTCTTCTGGGAGATCTTCTGAGATCATGTGCGAAAAATGATCTGAAGTTTCTTCCCGCAAACATTCACACTACGATTTTTAGAGTTGAATTTTTTCCTGTAGCAACTGGGAACAAATCCGGGTGCATATCTTTTTTTTTTTGAAAAATATCGTTTCCGAGGCTCAAAAGAAGCAAAAAATTGGAGGCACTATTAAAAATTCATTAGAAACAGCTTCTTTCGGATGGTGCTAATTTTGTAAAATCTTCAAAACTTAATAGGTACAATATTTTCAAAAGAAAAAAAAGCACCCGCCAAATTTGATAGAAGTACTTGTAAGAAAACTTCGAACTGAATCGGTCGTGCCGTCTAGCAAAAAAAAGGGCAGCGGGGAACTTCAATTTTTATTTGAAAATCTGATTTTAAGCAAATCGCAAAGAAAGTTGAACTTTTTGGAGTTCTTAGCATACAATTCAGTTTATTTTCGCGTTTTTTCATACAAAAAGGTAGTTTTGCCTTCTTCAAATGTGCTCATTGGATGGAGGATATTTAAATCTATATTACTAAACATAAAAAATGAACAACGAAACAATTGAATATTTTGGGTTTGAAAATGGAGGGAGTTCCCATTACGATAGGCAAAGAAAGAAATTTATATGAGTAAACCTAAAGAAGTTACGTATTTAATACGTTTGCATATCTTTAATTCACATTAGTTTGTTTTTCGTTCAATCGTTAACATGCTCAGTTTTCTTTAGCATCTTCTGAATTGTTCTATTGAAGGTTGCTATCGAAACTATCCAAAATATCCGAACAGTGATTCAATTAACAAAAGAAACTCATTTCTATGATGAATATTGTCAAATCCTTGATACTGTTCATCGGTATGACTACTTTTTTTCTTATATCTATTTATCAGGAAAATATCTAATTGTCTTACAGATCATCAATCAAACGTGCTCATATTTTAGCCATTGTATTCTCTGTAGCAAATTCCGCTGTTTACTTTTCCGTGGCAGCTTTAATTTCTTATTCTACCTTTTTGTTTGATCACGGTACACTTCCATTTGCAAGTATGTTTATGTAAGTACTAGAAAAAGTGTCAATTGATTCATAAAAGTTCTTGAGTCCATAATGTTGTAGGGTGCTTAATGGTGTCATTTTCACCGCTCGAACCATTAGTCAACAGCTAGCACTGTAAGTTTCTGATTGAATTTAATCAGTCGAAAAATGGTTTCGTTTTCAGATTTCCAGATTATGGAAAAGCAATCGAAGCTGCTGAAAACATTTTCGAGTTATTGAATCGAAAGCCAGCAATTGATAATGAATCAAATAATGGTGTTAAAATTGTGTGTGAATAGTATAAATGTTTTCGACACGCAATAACTATCTATATTGTCATTTAGACTGGCTTTACTGGGCAACTTGACTTTGAAGATGTTTATTTCAATTATCCAAATAGACCTGAATCAATCATTCTTAGAAATTTTAAACTCAATATCAAACCTGGTATAAATAGATATAATCAGTCCAAAAATCATTTGAACACTTAAGGTCACTCTCACCTTCCTTCATAGTTGATTTTGGTCCAGGCACAGGCAAAGCACAATAAATTTTCTAGGTATGTTGGAGCTATAGCGGAGAGGCTATAGCAAAGTTCTCTGCCCTATAACATGATGTTTGAGAGACATTTTCACCAAACAAGCGTCGAAAATAGCTCATTAGGAAGTTTCAAATTTTCTGCACGCCTTCATTCTATATGTTTAATTTGTTTTTTACTTGCATGAGCATGTCAGAATGCAGAATATGACAGAACCCATTTTGTTTCAAATTCTTACTTTTTAAACGGAGAAAAGGAATGAAAGTTAAATAACTCGAAACACTCGGAAAAAATTGAAGTTTCTTGGCCTATTTAATTTTTATCACTTCTCTTCGCTGAAAAAAGTAAGAATTTAAAAAAAAAGTCTTTATCATGCTCTGCATTTTGACATGCTCTTGCAAACAAAAAACAAAGTATTTTAAATATAGGCTCACAGAGAATTTCTAATTACCCAATGAGCTATTTTTTGTGCTTTTTTGGTACATATCTTTCTCACATATCATGGTATAGGACTACAAATTCTTCCATAGCATTTCCACCATAACACCAACATACCTTCAAAATTCCATGCGTTTGCATGTGCCTGAATCAAAATTGATTATAAGAAAGAGAGGGGAGTGACCTTAAGTGTCCGAATACTTCTTAGACTGATTGTATATATTGTTAATTTGTTTTTATCAACGTTGAAACTCACTTTTTTCCGTATGTTTTTCTTAGGTCAAAAAGTAGCACTTGTTGGTATGTGTACTTACTAACCGTTCTCTTTAAAATGAAACAATTCATTTTCAAATGTCAATCTATTTAGGTACATCTGGCTGTGGAAAATCAACAACTATTCAATTAATCGAACGTTTTTATGATGTAAATATGGGTCGTCTCGTAAGTAGTTTCTTTTTTCTTGTTCTCTCTTATTTCACACTTTTCCATTTTCTCATCGTTGCAGTTGGTTGATTCAAGAGATATTCGAAGTCTTAATCTTCAATGGTATCGATCACAAAGTAAGTACATAAATATACTTGTTTTTCTATAATATCATTATATTTACTCATCTCTCTATTTGTTAGTTGGTATTGTTTCTCAAGAACCAGTTCTCTTCAATATGTCAATTCGGGAGAATATTGCATATGGTGATAATAGTCGAAAAGATATTCCATTAGATGAAATCATTCAAGCAGCAAAAAATGCAAATATTCATGATTTCATTCAATTTCTTCAAGATGTAAGACATGAAGAACTTCGTTTTGTTTTTATTCTAACAAATAATATATTCTTTTGTTTGAATATAAAGGGATATGAAACAAATTGTGGTGCAAAAGGAACTCAATTATCAGGTGGACAAAAACAAAGAATTGGTAAAATTATCTTGATTATTATGTTTTATCAAGTTAAAAATGATTTTGTTGATTTTAGCAATTGCTCGAGCATTACTTCGAAATCCAAAGATTTTATTATTTGATGAAGGTAAAAGAGAAGTTATGATATTTTTTTTTCTTTCATAATTATATTTTGTGTGTAATTGATTTAGCCACAAGTGCATTAGATAGTGAAAATGAAAAGATAGTTCAAGCTGCATTAGATCGTGCTCAACAAAATCGAACATCAATAACAATTGCACATCGTTTATCAACAATTCAGAATGCAGATATGATTTTTGTTCTTCATAATGGTGCAATTGTAGAAAGTGGAAATCATGAAGAATTACTTGCTCTTGGTGGTCGATATTATCGATTAGCAACAAAAAAAAACTAAAGAGATAGGATATATGTAGAACCAAACATTTTCTCTATTTACTTTTCTTATCTATATATATATTTATTTTTGAAGTCTATCTGTTAATAAAATGGTGATTGGAATTCATGCAAGACTCAGATATGATGCACAGTGGAGATGTATTGTTCCAAAGAAGAATGTTGCCAAAACATGTACATATAGTATATTAGTGCATGCTCTCAGTGTACAGCACGATTCGTTTTGAAGAAAATATTTTTTTTATATACTAAAACAGTGTTATAGTATTCGGACGTCGCGAAACATGCACATAAATACTATAAGCATGATATCAAATATTATAAATTGGTTTGAGAGGTGAAAGAGAAAACATAAGAAATAATATCATTTGTCAAATGACAATTCATAATTGATCTAAGAAAACGAAGTGTTAAAGATCATTACAGTTAAAGTAGGCGAACTGCAGTTGAAATAAAACTCGAATCAGAGTTATTCGTTTCGAATGCAAATGTCTCGATCTCTGATAATCAGAGAGAAGTTTCCTTGGCATGTATGATACAATATATTGATTAGAAGAGCTTCTATACTTTTGTTCGTATTGAGTTTAATGTACTCTATGTGTTATAGGTTTGACAAAAATAACACATTGTTGAAGCAAATTATCATTTGTACCATGAATATTGTCTATCTATTCATTTCATCAAAATTGCGCAGAAATCGGCGATGTTATCGCGATTTATTGTAATATTTGAAAAATCACTGATTCATCGAAAAAAATGACGCGATTTTGATCAGATAGGTACAATCGTTACAAATGAATTTTAACGGGCAAGGATAAAGAATATAATTGTTTTTTTTTTACATTTAATGGTGTGTAATCTTTGCAATGGAGTTACTATATATCAACTTAGTATTCAGAGTATAACCAGTTTTTTTTTATGAACTCAAAGTCTAAAATATGAAATAGACATGTTATAGATATTGAGATTAGTTTGCCAGTTTTAATAAAAGTCAGGAAAATACTCAAATTGTTCGACTGAACTTTATCAACATCTGATGATAGCCGAAATTCTTGTGAAATGTATGATGCTGGTAAATCTTGATAAGTTATTTTTCAACTAAAAAAACTGAAGGATGTTTTAGCTTATATATTTCCTGTAGTCAAATAATAGCTACCTTTTCTCGGAATTTAACACACAAATAATTCAAAATATTACTTTGCTTATTCATAAAGTTACTTTCGAAAATCATTTTCTGATGTCGATGCACCAGAAGTCATTGGTGTATACATTACAATATAAATAAATGAAAATGAATATTTTGTCTAGTAAAAAAAATGCAAGCATATGTTATGTTTTCTTTTTCGAAAGAAAAATTAGAATTTATTTTGAAATAAAAGAAAATTATCTTGTAATTTTGCGCATAATTATAAACGAGTTCTGCCTAAAGTTTAATTTTGACTATGATATCTTATGTAAATGTGTACTGTCTAACATTTACCTTTATCTTTCGATAATTTAAAAAGAACTTCTCATTGAAACAGTATGACATTCGAATGAATATGATAAATATAAGATATTATCAAAACAATCGATTGATTCTTCGATATTTTGTTTCTTTTTTTCAGCAGTAAAAATATTGTTTGCATATACCAAGCGCACAACGTTGACGTATACCTTGGTATACACCTTGAGGTGTAATTGCAAATGCATATATAAAATATTGAATGAATAATATATGTACAAAAAAATCATAAGAAAGCAAAACTGAAACGATAAAAATGTATGCCTCTTTCAATGTCGTTCTAATATATTTATATTACATCAGTTATTTTTCAAATAAATTGAATGATGATTGATAGAAATTGTTCACATACTATAGAGAGAAATGACAATAATACGCGTGGAAAACTAAATGAAGTCATAGACAGACAGCAAAAGAGACAGTCATATTTGTAAATGACATTTTCGTTTGCATTTTTATTTTCAGAGTCATGTCTCAAGAAGGAGAAAAAAAGCCTGAAACAACAAACTTCTGGCAACAACTTCGTACTAAAAAACAAGATAAAACACAAACTGAAGTAGTGAGCATTCGAAGTCTGGTAAATATAATTGTTAATACTATTTTATTGATTCGAATTTCTCTTTGATTTTTAGTTTCGATATGCTAATACTACTGAATTATTTTACTTAGTGTTGGGAACTATTGCTTCTATAGCTTTTGGTGTTTGTCTCCCATTAGGTCTGGTAATTTTTGGTAATTTGGTCGATTCATTTATTGATCGAGCAGCTAATTTATGTTCACTCAATTTCACATCACTCGTTCAACAGTATTGTCCGTCAAATGTTACACTAACATCAACTAATTTTTATACCACAGTATCGTAAGAATATGTACACCAATATTCCATGAAATAAGAACGATGATTATATTTTTAGATTGTGCAATATTACTAAATCAAATTTTGCTTTAATTCACTATGACATCAAAAGTCACACAAATAAACAAGTCTTTATATTAATAATAATTGCTTGTGTTAATCTTATATCTGGTTATGTTCGAGTTATATTATTAGAAATATCAGCAGAAAGACAAACTCGAACTATTCGACAGATTTTATTTCAGTCTGTTCTCAAGAAAGATGTTGTCTTTTTTGATACTCATAAAACTGGTGAACTTAGTGTGCGTTTTACAAATGATATTAATAAAATTCATGATGGAATTGGTAATAAATTTGGTTCAGTTATTGAAGTATTGATAACTTTTATAAGTTGTATTACTATTGGTAAAATATTTTTAGTCGAAAAAAGTGATAAGATACAAACTAACTGAGTTATGACTAATTTAGGATTCATAAAAGGATGGAAATTGTCACTGGTTATATTTGCATTCGCACCAATAGTTTTCATTATAGCAGTAATTTTATTTCGAGTAAGATTTTCTAGAATTAATAACTAACATTGCTACATTATACGTTCTTATCCTTAGATAGTCACTGAAATGACTGTAATTGAATTGAAAGCATATGGAAAAGCTGGAGCAGTTGCTGAAGAAGTAATAAGTTCAATTCGTACTGTACTATCATACAATGGACAAGAAAGAGAAATAGAGCGGTCAGTGTTGTAATATTAAAATATTTTTTTCATGACGATTGAAGAATCTATTTTTCAATATACAGATATGAACAGTATCTTGATGATGCAAAAAAATGTGGAATACGAAAAGGTGTGACCACTGGCATCATAACTGGCATAGCATATTTTATTTTTTTTTGTATATATGCATTCGGTATTCATTTTAGTTTCGATTACTTCAATATGTTCATAGTCTTTTTGTATATAATAGGATTTTGGTATGGAACAAAACTAATTTGGGAAGTAAACTACAGTATTGGAAAAGTTTTCACTGTAAGTATAATGGGTATCCAATACTTTTATGCAGCATAGATGCGATCGATTCGATTTGAAATTCTTCAAAGCTACATCATTTCTAATATACAATATCGGACGCACTGTTTTGGATGATTTTTTCAAGTGTGACTTTCTCATCAAGTTAACTTTTGAAATGCGGTTTGTGTCGAAAACACAGTCAGTATTTATACAATATCCATGAAAAATGTCATTCCTCAACGTTGAGTCGTAGAGAAACTGGAGATTTAACAATCTGAAGTAATGAATTTGTTTTGGGTAATTTCTAAATAAAGCTATTTTTTTACATAATCGTTCAAGAGAATGGAAATCATTTAAATGAAACGAGCAAAAGACGAGCTACGTTTTGATAACTAAAACTTTCTAAAAGTAAAATATCTATGAAGTGAAGTGCTTATTTTATGACAGACCACTTACAATGTTCATGTAAACTTTTTATTATTCTTATATAATGAGTCATTTTTCTTTCGCAATATCGCCTTGGATATTGAGTAAAACACTGCAAATTTTCAGAAAACGACCTCCGAAACTCGACAAATATATTTTCTGGGAAACTTCAAGCCGCATGCTACCTTATGCAGTGTCAAACGTTCTTTCGAATATTATATTTTGAACGAAAAATTGTTCATTATATAAAAATAATAAAAAGTTCGCATGAACATTGTCTGCAGTCTATCATAATAAAAGCATTTCAGGTCATTGATATTTTGCTTTTAGAAAGTTTCAGTTATCAAAATGTAGGTTGTTTTTTGCTCTTTTTCATTATCTGATTTCAATTCTTTTGAACAATTGTGGAAAAACAATTCTATTTAAAAGTCATCCAAACAAACTGGTTACTTCAGATTATCAAATGTCCAGTTCCACTATGACGCAATATTGAGGGATGAAATTTACTGTGAACATTGTATAAATATTTACTGTACTTTTTTTCGTAAACCGCATTTCAAAAGTCAACTTTATCAGAAGGTTACACTTAAAATAAAATTATTCGAAAAGTTGCGCCCAGTATTGTGTATATAAATAACGGATAAAAAATAATTTGGAATAAGACGAACGAGTTGAAATAAAGATCACATAGTCTTAGTTATCCCTAACAGAGTTTTTAAAAATTTATTTTTCGATTCAGTTCAACGTTCTTCAAATACCTCTCGGCTGTGATTCCTTTTACATTTTGAAAAACCCGAACCGATCCCATCTCTATTGCGCAATAAAGTTGTTCATTGTGTATTATTTCATAATGTTTTCATTTAACAAATTGTTGGAAACAAAATCTAACATGTAATTTATTAATCATTCAAACTATTCTGATTTAAATCTTCATTTAAATATGGTTTCTTATGCAATCACATATCGAATGAAAACATTGGGATAAATATAAACATAAACTTGAAGAAAAAACTCTTCTATCGATTATAAATCTATTAAGATTCATCATAGAACCTATTTTATATTGAATGTTTAAACATATTATGAAACTTGTGAACTGTGACCAAGTGTTCATAGTTATGGTGAATTTCTCAAGATATTACTTTCTAATTGATTTGTGTTAATCATCTTGTTCAGATTGCTGGAGCAAACAAATAATAATGCTTTTCTCATGCAAAAGCTTTATTCTGTTTTATGAACAGAGTATAATACAATGATCTAGTTTTTCAAGAATAGAAAACTAGACATCAAAAATTGAAAACATGGATATCGATAAATTTTCACTTGTTCTAATAACAAAAAGCATTCGTCTTCATAGTTTGTCTTAGATGAATTTTTTTCCCATTAGTATCAAGCTCACTGTATTTAGGTATTTATATGTATTAGCATTGGGTTTTTAACTACGGTACAAGCAAGTCCTTATTTTCAAGCATTATATGAAGCTCGAGTTGCTGCTTTTGGCATATGGAAAATCGTTGATGAAGTACGTTTATTTTTCATACCTCATATATGCAAATTTATCTACAACGTATACTTTTTTAATTAATCTCATAGCCATCAAAGATTAATAATGTGGATTCGGACAAAGGTCTTACAAAAGATGATCTTATTGGTGAAATACATTTTTCAAATGTTTACTTTTCTTATCCATCTCGACCTGATGCTCCTATTCTCAACAATTTATCGTTTAATATCAAATCTGGTCAAACTGTTGCCTTGAGCTTTCATCAATGAATCATGATCTCCTTCTTCAACTATTTC